GGAGGAGGAGGAGGAGGAGGAGGAGAAGAAGAAGAAGAAAAGGAAGAAGAAGAAGAAGAAGAAGAAGAAGAAGAAGAAGAAGAAGAAGAAGAAGAAGAAGAAGAAGAAGAAGAAGAAGAAGAAGAAGAAGAAGAAGAAGAAGAAGAAGAAGAAGAAGAAGAAGAAGAAGAAGAAGAAAATAACCAGGAATTGACAAGAGAAAAGGCTTCCGATAGGAGCAAGTGGACGCTATAAACGCCACCAAAGTTCACCTCGACTTACAACAGTTCATTTAATGGCCATTCGAAATGACAATGGCATTGGGGGGGAAAAGTGACTTTCCACTTAATGACTGTTGCAACATCCCTACGGTCACGGGATCGGCCCAAACGGACTCATAGTTACGACGGTTACGGTGTCCCCGGTGTCTTTTGCGACAAGGTCAATGGGGAAGCCAGATTCAATTAACGACTGTGTTCCTAACCAAAAACCTGCAGGGATTCCCTTAACAATGGGGACCAGAAAGGTCTTAACCCGGGCCAAAACTCGCTGAATGACGGTCTCACTTAGCGAACAGAAATGGACTTCCTGCAGTGGTAATTCTAGTGGTTGTAAGAAGCATAATGGCCTCTACTCCACGGCTTGTACCTCTTTAAGGGGTTCGCTCAATTCTTCCAGGATATTGTCTTCGTCAAACATTTTGCCCTGGTATCGGTGTTCGTAATATTCGTGGATCCGTTGACGCGTGTCTCCCGGTAACTTATGAAAGGACATATATTGCTCCACTTGCTTATACTATAAACGGAGGAACAGAAATATTTTAAATAATTCAGCCGGAAAAATGAAGAAACACCAAACAAGATGAAGAAATGATGAAGAAGATACCAGAGTGTGCAGAAATGGACAGACTGTCAGGATTCCGGTGATTGCCCCAATTAAATCATTAAATCAAGCCAAGGTTGAAAAGAATCTAGATTTATTAGGAGCAACATGTCCTTCATTAGCCTGTATGAAGCCAACTCTGGCATAGGGAATTTACAGTTACCTGTGACCCTGTTTCCGCCCTCTCACCTGGGTGTGTCATACATCAGATTCTCCAACAAAGCACGTTCTCGGGCTGGGTGTCATCAATCACATTCTCCAATAAAGGATTTTTGAGGGCAGAAGATCCGGTAGCCTAGCTGCAATCTTTGTAAGGTAAGTGTTGAAATGTACTTCTGGTTTTAAACTGCCTTACTGCTCTTTCAACCCCCCCCCTCGTTTATGGCAACTCGAAAACAGGCATAGGAATGCTTTACGAGTTGACACAGACAGACATTCAAAATGAAACAGAAAGATGATACAGAATATTATCAAGCATGCAATCTGTTTTATCAGTGGTTGGGAAAAAAAAGAAGTGGAGATGAAGAACGTGATACGGATTGTTAAGCAAATTAAAATACCCAGAAAACACGATGTGTATTAAGCCCTAAGAAATGTAAATAACAACAACAATAATAACAACAGCAATAATAAAAGTAAATTACGAAAGCAGAATGCTTTGAACTTTAACTTTGATGTTGTTTAATTTGTTAACTATTTTTTCTTTCGTATGTATGTATGTATGTATGTATGATCAATTTAATTGGGATGTAGAAGCTTATAAATTTTGGACCTGATTAGACCAGGGGGAGATAATATATATTTGTGTCTTTCTGAAATCCACTTTTTTTTACATTCTTGTCTAGTTTTGTTCCGTTAATTTATTTTTCTTTTGGATTTTGATCTTCTGAATAAAAATAAAAACGGAAGAAAAGTTTAGGAAACTTTTCTCGCCATCTCACTGGAAAGAAGCTGGCGTAGCAAGCCCCAGGATATAGTAACAATAGGGTGTAAATCTTCTCACCTTCTCCTGGTACTGGCGCCGAGAGGAGTCCAGCGACTGGATGAGGGCAGTGGCGTGGCCGATGAACATGGCGTAGCAGGTGGCGCCCACAATCATGCTCAGCATTGTCAGCCAGACATCGGTCATGCCCTCGGGCGCCTGCTGCCCATAGCCGATACACAACATGTGACTCATCGCTTTGAACAAAGCGTGCGAATATTGCTTTCCCCAAGAGTCATTCTGAGAACAAAAAAAATTGTGGGTTTTTTTTTTTTAAAAAAAGATCTTCAGTGTTGTCCCACAGAACCTGGTCTTTCAAACTTGGCAACTTTGAAGCGGTGTGGACTTCAACTCCCAGAATTCCCCAGACAGGATACTTTTAAGAGGCGTGGATGTCCACAATTTCCAGAATCCCCCAACCCAAAATTCCTAGAATGCCCCCAACCCCTTTGCTGGAGGGGAAGTCTAGGAATGGAGGTCCGGATCTCTTCAATGATGCTGACTGGGGAATTGTGGGAGTTGAAGTCCAAGTTTGAAAAAATACCGTCTTGGGGTAAATAGAAACTCTTGAACCCCTATTCTTTGGGTAGAAATGGTCAATTCTTTGAAGAAGGTGAACTAATGGAACTCTATTATTATAGGGATAACAATTCTATTATAACAGAAATGTGAAAGCCCTCCCTCTCGCTCTTTCTCCCTCCCTCCTTCTCTCCCTCCCTCTCTGTCCCACTTCCTTTCTCTCTCCCTCTCCCTCCCTCTTTTTCCCTCCCTCCCTCCATCCTTCCCTCTCTCTCTCTCCCTCCTTCCCTCTCTCTCTCCCTCCTT